AGGGCCTTCAATTTGTACTGCTAATGAAGGGTCAAGGGGCGAAGGTTTTCTGCATCGGAACAACCTTTGTTCCACTGCCAAACGCGATCTGCTATCGCACTCCCATGGATCATCATGTCAACGATTGACATATGGATTTTGTAAAATCCTTGCAGCAACAAATCGATTGAAAAACATATTAACAAATTAACATATTAATCATTGTGGTTATCAATTCGAACAATGATATCAACATATTTACCGAAATCGATAAAACTAGAACATGCATCTCATACATATCGCATCATCCAAGAATTTAACCTGAATTCGGATCGTACAAATGGCTCTGATACCACTGTTGGGACCGTCGGCGCCCACAGCACAACGAAAATAAAACTCGACGGTCTCACCAGTGATCCAAGTACGTAAAACTGAAATCAGGAGGAAGGGATACGAATACTTACAGCGGGTTCCTTGAAAAACAGCAAGAACATCAATGAATACTTGTGGTGTAGATCGGTTCGAATCATAAGCCTCCACGAAATCACGTCTCGGCCTCTACTCAGTTCACCCGATTGAGAGCAATATTTGTTTTCCCCAAAACTGTTTTGAGAGAAAAGCAGCTAAAGGTTTATATTGTGTGTTAAAAACGACTGCTAAACCTAACATACCCTTTTATATCCATTACCCTATTATCTTAGGGTTTTCAAAGTTATTTCGAATTAATAATAAAATATTATTTAATTAATTCAATTAAATATACATTAAAGACTTATAATCTGAATTATGATCTTTAATGTTTATTTAAAAACTTATTTAAGTATTCTGAATTATATATACTAATTAAAAGAGTTATAATCTAAATTATTATTTTAATGCTTACTTACTATATCGGGATAATTAAAATCATATGTATATCAAATATACATATCATAACTCTAGATATATTTTAGTAACATACAACAAATTGTACATTTTTGCTCATTTAAATCCTAGGGTGTAACCCTGTAGGTTCTTGTAACGTTATAGTAATTATTAGAACAATTCTAATATTACATACAATGAGTGACATCTAGCAATATATCATTATCACCTAAGTTACAAGAAATTATGATTCGATATATCATCTTCGTGATTAACTCTTTTATGTATTACATCCTTTTGTCCTTTATATCTAGAATAGGCACAAGTCTTAGAATAGTCACACTTGTATAGCCATCTATTGTTTCTTGATATCTAGAGTAGACTATAATTAACGAATATGATATCACATATCAACTTATTCGAGCATGGCCATGTATTTTAGTCTCACTCAATCAAGTGGCATGTGATATATTTCCTATTATGTAGGAAGGACAAATCCTATCTTAACCATATACACCCCACTACATATATGAAATATATTCAATAACAGTCTTTATAGTCAACCAGTTACGGAGCATGTTTAACTGTATCAAAACATACAACAATATATGTTGGGATGACATTGATCTCAAGTCTGAGGATCATACATATATTTATCACTATGAGCAATGTTATGACCGTTACATAATAATCCAAGACATATGCTCATGATGGGTCAATCCAATACATTGTTCTCTAACAATATAATCATGTATCAATTCTGACATCTCTATGTCAATGAGAACTCCTTGTCATCAATCAATACCATGTTAGTCTTAAGCATATTATTATTGTCCATGCCCATAATAATACTTGACTATGGATCTTTTAATAATGTTATTATATGGACTTTATTATCTTTCAGTTTATGTTAAACACAGACACATAACTGAAAATAATAGTGGCAATGTCTTTATTCAATAAAATCGGTAAATAAATATATTATTATAATCATCATATGATTGGTCTTTGGGCATACTCTATCAATTATTGCTTTGGTCCCTTATCTTTTCTAAACTTTATACTTTGGCCACTAAACTTTCAAAATTTATGTTTTGGTCACTAACCAAAATTTGGGGTATTACAAACTATCGTAAGGACGTGTTTGTATACCTTATAAAAAAATTTTTCACTTGAACCATTTGTTTGCAAAATCAAAATCCTTCAATAGATGACTTGAAAGCCTAGAACAAGCCACCAAAAATTCTCTTTCCTAAGATAACTTCTTTGTGAATCGTGGTCGTACGAAGAGAATATAATCTTAAAATGGTTATAAGGATGAAAAAAATACATTGTGTGAAACAAATGTTGTAGCCCATTATATGATCGATCCCAATCATCGTACAATAGTGTCATTGCTTTCTTTTTCACCATCCACGACTTGTAATACGACGGAATATAACCAAATGTATTATGGATGGATGACACTAACATTGAAATTGGGATTCTTGGATTTTTTCAACCAGAAGATTGACATATGAATATATGACATCTGAAATTTAATGTTTGTAGTCTAGTGTCAACAAGCTCAATGTACATGTGTGCTGGCCATTAAACCTTGTGACTTTCCACAACATCTTCCGTTGTAAGTATGAAACTCGTATCCTCCACTTACAGCTGACATTATGGTTTATAAACATAATGAAATATGTCTTTTGATCATACTCTACCACATAGAATTTGATATTGGCTTTGATGCAATACTCCTTAATTTCTAGTTGTGCATCTTTTTTACTTTCAAGCTAGGACCCAAGCGCTAACTCTATTGATCCATCATTGAAGGTACAGAGTGGGGGCAACACATATCTTTGGCTTATCATGGATCTTAGGATTCTTATAGCATCATAATTAATATCATGCATTGTATGTAGATGCTGATATTAAGATATTTGGGGTTGAGGTTTTGGGGATGATAGGGTGTTGGTGAATGAGCCCAACCTCTTGGAGCATTTTCCAATCCATGATCTTTTGAAACCTCTGTCTTATAGACATCAACCTTAATATCAAAACTTTGTCCCTCTAAAGCAACCTCAATAATATTAGAATCATCAAGTATTGGTGTGTCGTCATCTTTATCATTGGAACAACAATTTCAACTTCTTTCTAAACTTAACAAGGCTTTCATCAAATCAACCAACAACGTTATCATCTGCACTACTGTCATGACATATAGATGTTCCTGGTTCTTTATAGCAGGTGCAATTGTTGATGAGGTAGGAAGATATGGTGTATTTTTTGTTTCAACATAAATCACGATCATTTGATTATTGATGATTGATGCAGTCTAACTATAACAACAACATCGTCATCATCCTCGAGCTGGATTAGTCCATACGTGAATGGGTTTTTAAGATTATACATCGATAACTCAAACATGAAACAAAAACTTCAAGTTTTCTTTCAATTTTTGCTTTATTTGGTGATGAGATACATCTAGAAAGAATATCATGTTTACAGGCCTTTGTGACGTAAACATAACTGATCAGACTCTACCATAATTACTTCACCATAACTTTTCACTGTTCTATAGACCTATATGGAAGACAATTTTATTATTCAAGTTCATATTTCAAAGATTTTAATGACAACAATTTCAACAATAATGTATTGTGAGGGAAAATCTTTCACCATCTCCTTCGAGGGAGACATTTGACTTTTTGACTCAATGATGAAAATTTCAAACAAGGTGGAGCTAATGAAGATTCAAAACTTTCTTTACCACAATTCATGTTACCAACCTCTTTGATTTACGACGTTCATCAATAGGCTATCTGAATAATAATGTTGTAGCTCGAACAATGATTGACACATACAATACCAATTCGGTGAGTAATGTTAACTTATTTGTCAAGTATCACAAGCAAGTCACAACTCTTCCACATTAAACCAAAACCTCCGGACGTATCTAACAATATAAAAGTTGAACTTCAAGAACTTGAACTAATATATATAGAAGGAAACAAAAGATAGAATGGAGGATTGAAGAACTTAACTTAACATCTGACGAGTCAACTAACTATGAAGACTGAGATGTGGGGTAACTACTTAATGTTTCTATTGTATAGTAATGTAATATATGAGTTAGTGCTTCTAATGTAATGTAGGAGTTAATGTTTCTAATGAAACGTATGAGTACGCTTCAAATGTAAAATTTAGTAGTTTGTATTTAGTAGAAATTATCAATATTATCGTTGGAACTCGTCACTCCCCCATGATGAGTTCCTTATGCTCGTTTACACACCTAGTGATGAGTTCATATTGATTAAAAAAACTAGTTGTTGGGAAACAAGCATAAGGAACTCGAAAATTTTTAAGCTCGACTGAACTCGAGACCATGAATTGAGGCTTGTATAAGCTCTAAAAAGCTCAAAATGAAAAAAAAATCGTGAACTTAACTCGATTGAAGACTCAAGCTCGAACATGAATCTTAAATACATGAAAATCTTATATTATATTTAAAAAAAATCAACACATAAATGTTAATATTATTAATAATTTATTTTAAAAAAAATTAATATATTATATTTTTAAGTTGCTCGCGAACTTTTTCGAGTCAAGTATCAAATAGTTCGTTAAGAACTCGAGTCGTGTCCATTCGAGTCAAGTATTTATCAAACTTTGATAGAGTCTGAGTAGCTCAGAATCTATCTCTTCTTATTTACAGACCTACTCGTCCGTCAACATGATGAGTTTTGTAGTTTTTAAAAAATAATTATTATTAAAAAAATAAAATATTTATATTAAAAATATTTTTTTATGAAACTAGTAATGCCGACGTGAGGAGTTTCAAGAAATATAATAAAATACTAAACTATACAGCTAAATCTATTAAATTATAATAAACTAGTCATATTAGCATGATAAGTTTCCAAAACACTGTAAAAACAATATCGTAGTTCTAAAGTGCTTTGTGTCGGGCTAAATAAAAATCCTGCAGACCGCAGTGGGCCAATTTTGCCAATATATTGTATACGTTAGACCCAAAACCCGACCTCCATATGTTACTTGGCGAATCCGACTTCCAAGCCTCTTTCTCTCTCTCAACAGTAAACCACCACACCTGCCTTTCCCTATAAATATTTATTTCTTCTCTTCACCTTTCTCTCCTCGTCCCTCTCTTTGGATTCTGTCTCTAAAATTCTATTTTTTTCATTCTTTCTTCATCACAATCGGTGGGATGATTAGGTATGAGGATTAGCTCAGGAGAAACCGACGGTATAATCTGAGTATGGATTTGTCTCCCTTCAAGCTAGACATTGACGAGCTTATTCGTGAGTTTGTTCAGGTATTTTCCCCCCTCAATTTTATCATAATTTTGGTTCTGGGTATTCGTCTGTTTGTGTTAAACTTTTACTAGAGTTGGTGTTGACAGAGTGAATCATCAACTTTGAATGACATGAAGAGAATATGGTTATCGATGAAATTCTCCTACATTTATGAGGCCAGTCCTTCTACAAACTTAGCTTTCTTTATGCAATCACTCTATGCGCATACTATTGGTATGGCGAAGTTTCTTTTTCCCTCTTTTTTTTTAAATGAACTTTAAGTTCAGTGTGGTGGTTTGTTTTGCCACTTTTAGGTTCTGAAAATAGGGAAAAATGTTCTTTTTTATGTTTGGTTTTTTCCATTGCTGACTATCCTACACTTTTATGCAGGTCACATGATCAATGTTGATTCTTTAACTTGCAGACTTGGAGGGCTCTATTGCCTCTACTGCCTATATGAAACTCAACCATTCAAACCGCCTTTCAAGATTTATCTCTCACTTGGTATGTTTGCACAATTTCTTTAAGATTAGTTCCCCTGAATGGTATTTTCAACAACTAGTAATAATGAGAACGGAAATGCTAAAATTATTCTTGTTAGTTAGGCATCTCTGGTATTTACAACAACTGGTAATATTGAGTGCTCTATGTTTTATTTTTCTTCATTTGTTTGTTGCTTTAACTGACAGGAGAGATGAAGAAACTTACAAGTCTAGTTGTTGAGGCAAAAGAAATGGGTATAAGAGTAGTACCTACCTTGGTGAAAAGGATGCTGGAAAAAGATATGTTTCTGTTTGGGCTTGTGGACTTAAATGAAAGCTCGGTTAACGAGATGATTAACAGTCTGACAAAATTACAAGATGCCCGAATACAAGTTGCATATGAGAAGTAGGTTCAGATATCTATCGTTTACTAATTTGTATTGTTATGTTTGTTATTGCTTTTGTTTTAACGTTTCTGTATGTCTTTGATGGTTTCCTTCTTGCGAATAGGTTATTTACCGATACGGACATTGACCGATGCATTCACATGGACTTGGTAAGTTATGCAATCCATTATATAAAATAATGAGAGGAAGTTTGAAGGCATATATTAGTGTTCCTATATTCTGCAGTAACTAATATTAGAAGGGACACAAATGCCTTCTAATTGTAAGTGGTACTGAGCATGTTGTTTGAGTTAAGGCTGACTGCCTGTCTTATCTGGTTGCAATCCTTAGTATTGCAGAAGGCATTTATGCATAAATTTTAGATCAGTGTGTTCAATTTCAAATTGTCGAATGGTTGCAATTCACTTGCACTCTTTCGTTCAATCGACAACAAATGCTTTAAAATGCATGCAACTGGTGCCATGAATTTGTTCTTATATTATTTATCAAATTATTTTTGCTTTTGACTATTTCTAATCGTGTGATATCTGCACTTAATGCTAAATGTATTAGGGTATGGAGGTTGACTTTGATAAGATAAAGAAAATGTCCACAGAATATGCAGTGGCTAAGAGAAAAGCCATCGAAGGTACATCCTTTTGCTACTCTGGCACTCAACTTTTATAATATACCTAAACATGACTGCATATATTTGTAAACTGACCACTTTCTTATATTTTGGAGCCTGGATTTAAGTGCATTTGACCTTGAGCATGTCATTAGCAAACGATTATGTTTGTGTAGCTAAGATTAAGCACCTTCATTTGATATATTGGCTTATGTGTTATGTTTCATGTGTCAGTTACAATTGCCTCACATCCGTATTCACAATTTTATCATTTCATGATTTCGCCAAATTATTTCTCCATGAATGTCTTTGAATATTTTGTTGCTGCTTCCTTCTGCATTGATGTTAAAACTCTGTATTACCTATAGTGTGGAATTACTTCCTGAAACTGTTCCACTCAATACTCATGGTTTGTATAATCTAGTTTGCCTGGTTTAACCTGGTTATGGTTTCTTTTATTTCCCAAGTATCTCTTAATCATTTTATTATTCCGTTTTCAATTTTATTTCTTCTTAAAGAGGTTGGAGAGGTGGTAAATGTCCAGAACATAAAGCAGATAACGGAATATGAGAAACCTCTAAGCGAAATAGTTGAGAAGATAGATGAGAGCTGGAACAACCAAAGAGAGGTGTTCTATCGAAGGACCGGATTGAGCCACCAAAAGCCTGCTGAAGAGGAACAACCGCTGCTGCTGCAGTTAGAACCGAATGAAAATGAGGCAGACAACGACGGTGATGAATTTTATCGTCTTCTATATGAACATGATTGAATCCTTTTCCTGGAGAATTGATTTTTTAATGCAGGGCATCTGTATCTGATTTTTGTCCAACAAACAGTATTAGTGGTGGTTTTGCGTTTGGCATAATTTGTAATCAAGCACTTGAAGACTGATGCTTATATGTAATTATGAAGGTAATAATTAGATAAAAATTATATTTTTTTTGTAATTATAATGAACCATAATTTTATAGACATGTTTGATTGCTAAAGAATGACTATACACCATCAACTTAACTACTAATACTGATAATATTTTAAAATATAATTAGTCAAATCTCTAATATGCTGAGATAAAACATGTTTTATTTACATTATACAAATTTCTCTTCATTTAATTGTTTGAATATGTTCCTTGCATGGTTTTAAAAAGAAGCCATTATGGTACTGGAGACTGCGTTTCATTTCAGAAACATAGTATTTATAATTGAAGCAGAAGAGTAGTGTTGATGAAGAAAATCAGCAGACACCGCATGTTAGTAAAGGATAGAGACGGAAGGTTCTTGTGCCATAGCTTCACATTGGTCCCATTTTCTTTTTAACCTTAGCCAGCCGGGGTCGTTTTGCCCATTTCTATCGAAATTGTAGCCTTCAAGTTGCTCCCTTGTGAATTCTGATTGATTCCCCCACTGACCCAATACAACCGAAAACTGAATCATTGAGTTCCATACTGTCGTTTCCTTGTTCTTTCCCATTGTTTACGTTAAAGAGGACATTATTTTTTACTACATCTTGTGATGAAATTGAATTGCATTGTTCTGTAAATTTCTGAAATTTAGTTACAAAATGATATTCAATAGACTTGAGTTCAATATCTGCAAAATTACACTTCTTTCTCTTATATTTCTTTCCCCATGCATTTTACTGTAGGAAGGAAGTGATTTTTATAAACATTATATTTCTTGGGTGAGACTAAAAACATAATATGATATATTTTTATAGAAAGTTACAATAAAGAAACAAATTGGGAACCCCGGAAAATCATGAACAAAGGCAAATACCATTCTTGATGTCTAAGATACAGAAACACACTTGCAAGTTGCAACAATCTTTTAAAACAGAAGTGGAAAAAAAAATTGATGTTACAATAAGAACTGCATTAATTTTCCAGTCCAATTGAGAAAGGAAGAAAGAGAAAGCTCGACATCCTCTCATGTCGATTTCATCATAGATTCCATCAACCTACCAACCTGCAAATCCGCATGCAAGGAAATCTAATGAGGAACAAAGCTCATGTAATGTAATAATTGTTAGGTCCAGCAGCAAAAATAATGTCATTTCTAAGTATAGGAAGGGCTCTGCATGATTGAATTCTTTTATCTGATATATATATCAAAAGATCTCTGAAATTTTTAATTTTTTTTATAGATTTTCTTTATTTCTTCCCCATATTTTATAATTTTCTCTCTTTAAAATTTTGCTACTAACATAAAATTTTGTATACTTTCATGAAAAAATGTTGTTGGGTACTTAGAAAACCATTGCTATTGTGGAACCCTAAAAAAGTAGTACAGGAAAAATCAAATGAAAATCATATTTAAAACGAGAGGCTAAAGAAGCAGTTTAAGATCGGTTATATAAGCAGAAGTACTTAACTTGGTTCTAGAGAGAGCAGGTGTAACCGGGAGGGGTGTTTTCCCACAAGTGAGTAGGAGCTGAAGAGCCAGCGGCACGTAAATGTTAAGGTTGAGAACCTTGAGCTTGAGAGTGGTGCACAAGCAGACAGCAGCTTCGAGCTCAGCGAGTCCTGTAAGAACCGGACAGCATTCGTTCGCGACCGGGTCACCAAGACCAATGTGCACCAAACCTCCCAGGAGATCCACACATGCACCGAGTTTCAGCGTGTCGATGGGGCAAGTGTCCTTGGTCGGTGGTGATGGGCAGGGTTTCCCTTTTCCACTTGGTGGCTTAGTGATAACAGGAGGAACTGTAACCGGAGGGAGTTTAGGGACAAGCGGAGGAAGTTCAGGGACAAGCGGAGGGAGTTTAGGGACAAGCGGAGGCAAATTGATTGGAGGTTTAACAAGGGGAGGCAGAGTGATGGGACCTGTAGGGGACTTTCCCTTGGGCTTTCGATGCTTTGGTGGAGCCTTCCCACATGAACCGCACCCAAGAATTGGAGTCACCGAGGAAACGAAAAGCATGCAAACTAGCAGCAGAGCTGATATTTTGGTGGACTCCATTTTCAAACCCAAAGAGAAAAGAGAGAGAGATTAGATTGAGTGTAATAATGATGGTAGCGAAGTGGGAATTATATACAAACAAGGAGGAGGAACAAGCCCTACAAGAAGAACCGAAGAAGATGCAAATCACGTGAAGCTGGACTACGATAGAGAGGCAGCTGCCAAAATTTGCTAGTTGGCAATGCCTCTACAAATACATGAATCTTTGTATCCACATTTACACCCCGCTGTGTTATCAGTATTTCCTCTTGGCTTTTAGCTTTGATATGGAAAGAAACATTAGATTTTCCACTAAAGGACCAGTTGGATATGGAGGGAGGTTGACAGGGTTAATTTGGATCCTTCTAACTCAATTTCTTAACTCATTACATTCAAACACCAAGTATCAACAATAATTTAATTGTTTACTTAGTTGATTAGGCTAGATATGATGAATATAAATAAAAATAGGGTCAATTAATTTTTCATCAATGAACTTCCTTCTTATATCTATTTCAGTCATTAAAATTTGAAATTTTTCAGTTTGATCAATAAAATTTTATGTTTTATTCATTCAACTATTAAATCACAAATGATACGATGGTCTGATAAATGACATTAAAACAATATCGTTTTACAAATTTTAGATTTATATATAATGATGCTTATTAGTTTTGTTTCCTTTGTCTAAATCTCAATCATCATTTATCAAGATCGACCATTACGTCCACCACCGTAAACCATCATTAATCATTTTCCTTTCGCGAGGAAGGGGCCACATGAAATCAGACCGACCCAGCAGATTAGACCATCCTCTTGCCTGTATAATCACATGTCGATATGGTGCATTTTATTTTATTTTTATTTTTAAAAAATCTCATTTTGTAAATTTTATTAGTTAAAAGTTAGTTTGTATACTTATGTTTGAAAATTTTATTCATTTGTCCAATAACTTTTTATTTTATTATTTTGGCATCCTTAAAGAAAGTGATTCGATTTTATATTTTCTTAATCTTTTCTTTAATAATGGGTTAATGATATATTTGAAATGATCCCTCAATTCCGTACATATCAAGTATCCATTCATTCCCTAAATATAGATATGTTAAGTATATCAGAATTTGAAAATTTTCGAAAGAACACTGACTGATGGCAATTTGTTGTCCAATTAAATTAATTTTATGAAGTGGGAAAGATGATGAGTACAGCGAAGCAAGCATGTGAAATGGTGGTGGGTGCAGCAATGAACCAATATTAAAAATTCTAAATTTTTTCATCGAAAATTTATTTTTATCTTTTAAAATTTTATAAATTTATCTTAAAATTTTATAATTTTATCTCTTAACATAAAATAATGTATTCGTCTACAATCGAATTACGAGGCCACGTTCTGGTCTGTAGGGCGTCCGTGAATGAATGGATGGTGATATTATAGATATGCATGTTTGGGGGGCTTTATTGGAGTTGTAGAAACAAACGCCTCAATTTTATCCGTGATTTCCCACTCTGATGTGATAGGTCGCTTCTTTCAATCTCTCCATCTCCATGTCACTGTCTGTATCCCTCTATTATTCATCAACCCCACACCTTTCTTTTTATCTTCTTCTCTTCCAACAAATAATTGGGTTATAGTGAAAACTAAGCTCCACGCTTTCTTTATCGTACTATGATTCCTACCCACATGTTTATGTACTAAGTTGATTATTGAAAGAATAAAAAACAATGATTGAGGTTAACATTAGATAATGAAAATAGTTTAATGAAAGAATATGTTTATGTATTGGTATCAAATTAATTCAAGTGGTGCTGACGACAAGAGAAAATAGTTCAAGAGCTTTAAGAAATTACAAACATTTACATTTGGGTTTGGTGCTTGTTTTGGAATTTAAAGCTTAATTTTTTTATTCAAATCAAAACCTTACATCAATTTCAAATACTCGTTCAAAATTAATGACTAATTCTAAAGTCCATTTATGTTTTCCGAGTCCATTATGTTTAACTTGCATGCCCTTTCGCATATCAAATCCAAACAAATAACCTGCACCAAATTTGAACCAATTAACCCATTTCAAGACAAACCCAATATCCAAAGACTAAGGAAGCCCAACGAGCCCAATTTTTAGGGTTACAAAAAAAAACCTAAAAGTGAAAATGGATTCTGCCGCCGCCAGATCAGATTCCAGCCAGTCTGGTCCCCACCATGCCTCGTCACCAACTTTCGTGCAACAGAGTCTCATCTCCCTTTGCTCGAGCGCTCCACCTGAACAAGAGCCTCTACAAAAGCTCCAAATCGGCCGATTGAAGCCTCAACAGCACATGCAAAACAAAAAAGAATTGAATGTAAATTATTTTGTTTTGTTTGTTTCGATTGGTAACATTGGGATAAGAACGGGGAATTTTAAGAAACCACACATTAATAAGGTTAAAAAACGGCACAATTAGAAATTTGAAAGAAACATAATAAAATAAGTTTAGTGGCATCAAAATGTTTCTTATATGTAATTTGTTAGGTTGTAAGTATTTTAAAATAAATTAAAATGGTATAACCTTAAAACCTATTTTACAAGTTAAAAACAATACCAAAAATGTTATAAGTTTGAACCGGAATAACATAATATGTTGCAACCAAAATGTTATATAAGATAAAAAAATGAGTTATAAAATAAAAATGTTATGAATATATATAAGAAATATGGTTGCGCTTAAAAATATCATAGTTCACTAAGAAATATGTTACGAGCTGAGATGTTACTATTCTTATTAGCAAAATGAATTGCGCCTAAAATGTTATCAAAATTTAAGCTGATAGAGCCTTAGATTTCTCTACGATAAAAAATTAAGTTTAGAAACTGAAAATGTTATGAATATATATAAGAAATACAGTTGTACTCAAGAATGTTATGCTTTATTAAAAAAATAAGTTACAATATAGAATGTTAATATTTTTATTAATAAAATGGGTTGAGTCCAAAAATGTCATGGTTCACTAAGAAATAAGTTGTGATCTGAAATTTAATATTTTTATTAACATTACTCCTGAAATGTTATAATTATGTATAAGAAATACGGTTTCACCTAAGAATGTCATGATTTACTAAGAAATAAATTGTGATCTAGAATGTTAATACTTTTATTAATAAAATGAGTTACACCAAAAAATATTATAATTCTCTATGAAAATAAGTTGTGATATGAAATGTTAATATATTTATCATAAAAAAGTTTGAAAGTATTGATACTTTTCTACAAGTATCGATTTTTTAAATTCAAAAATTAAAATATCATTTTTTATGATTTTCTTTAAATTCGAAAGTATGAACACTTTTTTCACAAGTATTGATATTTTCGAATAAAAAAATTAAAAAATGAGAATGCTACAAAACATCGATACTTTCGAATTTAAAAAAATGAAAAAATGAGAAGACTGCAAGACATGAATACTTTTACTAAAGTATCGATTCTTTTAAATTTGAAAGTTAAAATATCATTTTTAATATTTTTTTTAACTTCAAAAGTATGAATACTTTTTCACAAATATCGATATTTTTAATTTTTTATAAATATAAATATATTAAATTTCAATCTTATCTTTAATTTTTTTAATATTTAAATGTATCGATAATAATATATTAAGTATCAATATTTAAATTTTGAATTGTTTTTTTACCCAACCTATTTTATTAATAAAAATATTAACATAGTATATCACAACCTCTTTCTCAATTAATCATGATATTCTTAGACACATCCTATTTTATTCAAAAAATATTAATATTACATTACAAATCGTAACTTATTTCTTAGTAAAATATGACATTCTTGGACGTAACACATTTATTAATAAAAATATTAAAATTTTAGATGTAACCTATTTCTTAATGAATTATGACGTTCTTAGGTGCAATCGTATTTCTATATATTCCTAACATTTTAAGCTTTTAAATTTATTTTCTTATCGTAAAAAAATCTAAAGCTCTATCAATTTAAATTTTAATAACATTTTAAGTGCAACCTATTTTATTAATGAAAATATTAACATTCTAGATCACAATTTTTTTTTAGTAAATCATGATATTTTTAGACGTAATCATATTTTTTTATATATTCATAATATTTTCAATTTTTAAAAATATTTTCAGTTTTTTAAAAATATTTTCTTATTGTGAGAAAATCAAAACCTCTATCAACTTAAACTCTAAAAACATTTTAGGGGTCTAAAATGTTTATAGAATTCTTAACATTTACAAATTACAACTCATTTTTTATCTTATATAATATTTTAGTTGTAACCTATTATGTTAAATCGATTGTTAATTTTTTTTATTTCAGCTTCTAATATTTTAAGTAACACTTCGTATAATATATTTTATTAATAAAAATATTAACATTTCAGATCGCAACTTATTTCTTAATGAATTATGATACTTTTAGACGTATTCGTATTATATATATTCATAATTTTTTCAATTTTTAAATTTGTTTAATCAAAGACTATTAACTTAAACTATGAAAACATTTCAAGAGCCTAAAATGTTTATAAAATTCTTAACATTTGCAAATTATAACTCATTTTTTTATTTTATATAATATCTTAATTATAACTTATTATGTTAAGTCGAATGATAACTTTTTTTATTTCAACTTTTAATACTTTAAGTAATGATTTTAACGTAAAACCTTTTTTTTAATTATCAAATACACTATTTATTATCCTTATTCTAAGCATCTCACGTCAAAACCTTCCGAATAAGAACCCAAAAACAAAAGGTAAAAAAGGGGCTCCTATTTTTTCTCTAGAGAAGATACTTTGTAGAGGCTCCCATTTCTCTGGAAAAAAAAATAAAGAACTAAACAATACAAAGATCCATCCCTCCATTCGAACAAGCAACAAGAAAAACAAAGATTCTCCGCAATTTTCTTTTCAAAACAAAAAGCAATAGAAACGATGAAATCTCTCAAAGGTATTGAAAGTTTTTTCATTCACAATGGCCATTGGTTCTCTTATTTTAAAACCAAAAAGCTAGAAAAAAAAAATGGAAGGGGCTCATTTTTTTAGCAATTATTCTTTGGTTTTCCA